AGCGATTCCCCCGCACAAACCGGGAAGGGGGGGAGGCGGCCGGTCCTCCTGAACTGCCTTGGGCGTGTGCGGCCCGGCTGGCAGCAAACACGGGACTCGGTCACGGCGTCTTCGCACTTCCACAGGCTAGAGAGGAAAAATGGAAAAAAATCATCCCGTAGCACTGCTGTGCACGGCGAGACCCCGTGCCCGGCTGCCCGCATCGCATCATCCAGAGGGATTTCCTTCAGAGGGGGAAAGGTGTTAACGTTCATCCAGCCACCGTCATGTACAACTGACATGCAGCTGTGTCAAGATGAAAGTCTGGGTTTCCTCTTCTTAACACCATTTGAAGACTGAAGTGCTTCATTTTGGAATATGGGGATTAAAATGGAAAAGGCCAAACTCCTTTTTCCCTCATGTACATCTAAAAATATTCCAGAAATAGGGAAAAAAAAAAAAAACAGGCTCCAAGGTACAGCATAGGGATTCACTAAATAGAAGCAATGTTTTCCAACCTTTAATATTGTATGTAAAACAAGCATTTAAATTTACCAAGATATTTATCCTCATCTTCTTATATTTGCCAAGCAGGTCCTATTAATGTTCAGAGAGTAGGGAGTCAATACTAATTAATCTACAGCTAACCAGAAAGGGAGCACACTTCCACAGGAGTGAATGCTGATGCATATAATAGAGATACATCTCAAAAGAAGAGGTTAGATTCCTGAAGAAAATTCCTTAGAGCAAGGTCTTATTTGGTCTCTGAAGGGAAACTGGTAACTTTATTGCATGTTACATTTAAAATTAGCCTCAGTAAAAGAACTAAGAAAAAGTCTTGCAGAGGTGAGCTGGACATCCAGACAGCCTGAGTGGGATAACCCTAGAAAGAAGCTCCAACTCCAGCTTCTATGACCCACAGAACAAACTGCTGAGGGGTTCATCATTATTCCAATCCACATGGATGGTGTGGCAGATACAAGAGACAGTAACAGAGCAATTCTTTCAGGATGGAGACATTCCAAAGACTCCACCAAGCAGTAAGCCATCAAGTACAAATTCTGCTATTCCTGCTACTGCAAGAATGTCAATACAGCACTATCCCCAAATCTACATTAAAGGTAAGCAAAGCAGTAGGAAATGCTCATCTAACCTGCCATCCTTCCCTCACTATGTTTTAATGGAGAGGTTCTGCACCTGCCAACAGCTCTAGAGGTCATTCCCACCAGGTGAAGAGCCACAGAGTCTCAGGAACTGAGCAATGCTGTTTGGCTCAAGTCATGCAGTTTCCCATTGCACTTCGTAAGGAATCAAAAGGCTCAACCGAAGCTAAGAATCCAGCAACCACAGAGAGGCCAGAGCCTGCAGATGAGTGCACCAGCTCCCTCTGCAGCAGCACTCAGAGGGCACTGCAGGGCTGGGCAGCACAGGCAGGTGTTCAGGCAGCTCTTGCTCCTGTAACACCCGTGTAGGCAGCAGCCACTATTACAGTTACATTGGCTTTTTTGGGGTTTTTCTTCCCC